TTTTTTTTTTTTTTTAAATCATTTGTGTATTGTTTCCATATTCTTTTGATGCTCTCAGCATCATTCAGTATTTTGCCCATGGTGGTGGTGGTTATGTGCTGTGGATTTGGAACCGAATCATAGAGACCCTGTACAGGGTTTCCAAGGCTGTAAACCTTTATGGGAGCAGAAAGCCTCATCTTTCTCCCACAGAACAGCTGGTAGTTTCTAACCGCTGACCTTAATGTTTGCAACCCGATTCGTAACCACTACGCTACCAGAACTCCTTAGGATCCCTCAGTATAGTAAGTAGAGGTTTGAATATTTTTTCTTTGGTTCTTGAAGCTTGGGAAATGCTGATTATGTTTTTCCTTTTTAATTTTGTAACTTCAGGTCCTTGCACCTTTGATTACAGTTGACTTTGTCTTCTCAGCCTGGTCTCTGAAATTTTCTGTTTAGCTCTTTTGCTTTCTCATTTGTTCCATTGACTTTATCATCTCTATGCTGGAGAACAAGTTTACAAGTCTCTTCTGACATCCATTTTTATCATTTTTTCCCCTTTCCTGTCTTTTTAAAGGCCATTTGCTTTCTTTCTGTATGATGCTCTTCATGTCATTCCACCGCTCTTTTGGTCTTTGTTCATTGCTGTCTAACGCTTAAAATCTGTTCTTGCGATTGTCTCTACATTCATGTGGGATATGTTCAGGATCATATTTGGCCCTCACAGACTTGTTTAAACTTTCTTTAGCTTTAGTCTGAACTTGCATATCAGCAATAGATGGTCTGATCCACAGTCTAGCCCAACATTTGTTTGGTTGATGATATTGAACTTTTCCACTGTTTCTTCTCACAAATGTAATCAAATTGATTCCTGTGTAATCCATCCTGTGAGGTCTATGTATAATTGTGTTTTATATTGTTAAAAAAGTGTTTACAAGGAATAAGTCATTATCTTGCATAATTCTATCATGCAATATCCAGCATTATTTCTATCACCAAGGCCATGTTTTAAAACTACTGATCATTCTTGTTTCCAGCTTTCACATTCTAATCACTAGTAATTACCACCACATCTTTTGATTGCATGCTTGATCAATTTCTGACTGATGTAGTTGGCAGAATGATCCAATTTCATCATCACTTTTTTTGTTTCCCCTTTGTTTTCCTTTTGCATTAGCTTCTTCTTTTTAAAAAATTATATATTTATTTATTTTAAACTATTATTATGAATTGAGCGAAGATTTACTGTGCAGATCTCCAGTTTTACATTCAACACTATCAACCCTATATAAGGAGCTCTGGTAGCATAGTGGTTATGAATCGGGCTGCTAATCTCATGGCCAAAAGTTTGAAACTACCAGTTGTTCCATGAAAGAATGATGAGGCTTTCTGCTCCCATAAAAATTTACAGTCTCAGAAACTCTGTACAGTGTCTCTATGAGTCGTAACTGACTCCACGGCACATAACCACCACCACCACATCTGTAAGTATAGGTCAAGTTCATAAAATTATAGCAATTCATACTTGCTTCAGATTTCTTCATCATTTATCAAATTTCTTCATCTTCTTTTAGTCGTGTTCTGAATTCATGGTGTGATTGTGCTGGACTGCAAAGTTGGTATGAACTACGCGGTTGGCAGTTCCAACTCACAAATTACTCCTCTGAAACCCTGTACAGGGTCACTATGGATTAGAATTGACTGAGGACACTTAACCACAACAAGTCCAGTTCTGATCATCAAATCATCAAAGCTAGATCAAATAAATGCTGTCTGTGAGTTTGGGCATTCACGTGCATCTCCCCCTACTTCAGATCATCTGGACATTTCACTCTCATCTCTTTCTATGGATCTAGTCAGTTTGATTTCTCTGTACTCCATTGGTGGGGTCCATGTGTACAGCCATCTTTTATGATGTTTAAAAAAGATATTTGCAATGAAGAAGTCATTGATCTTGAAAAAATTCTATCATGGGATCTCCAGCATTGTTTCTATCACCAAGGCCATATTTTCCAACTACTGATCCTTCCTCTTTGTTTCCAACCTGTGCATGTCAATCGATAGTAATTTTCAATACATCTTGATCGCATATTTGATCAATTTCATTGATCAAATTCAATTATTGAATTTCATCATCACTGGCTTTAATGGTTGGTGCTTAAATTTGAATAATAGTTGTGTTAACTGGTCTTCCTTGTAGCACTATGGATATTATCCTATCACACACAGAATTATACTTCAAGATAGAGCTTGAAATGTTCTCTTTGATGGTGAATATGACACCATTCCTCTTCAATTTATCATTCCTGTCATAGTAAATCACATGATTTCAGATTCAAAATGGATAATACCAATCAATTTAAGCTCACTAATGTCTAGGATATTGATGTTGATGCGTTCCATTTCATTTTTTTCCAGCTTCCAATTTTCCTAGATTCATGCTTTGCACAGTTCATGTTCTATTAGTACTCTTGGAAGCAGCAGTCAAGAAATCAAAAGAAGTATTGCATTAGGCAAATCTGCTGTATAAGAGCTCTTTAAAGTGTTCAAGAGCTAAGATGTCAGTTTGAGGACTAAGGTGCACCTGACCCAAGTTATGGTATTTTCAGTATCCTCATGTGCATCTGAAAGTTGGACAATGAATAAGGAAAATAATAGAAGAATTGATACTTTTGAGTTATGGTATTGGAGGAAAATATTAAACATATTAGGGACTGCCAAAAGAACAAATGCAACTATGTTGGAAGAAGTACAACCAGAATGTTCCTTAGAACCCAAAATGGCCAGACTTTGTATCTCAAACTTTGGAAATATTATCAGAATGGACATGTCTGGAGAAGGACATCATGCTTGGTAAAGTGAAGAGTCAGCGAAAAAAAGGGAGACAGACACCCCAGTGAGATGGATTGACCCAGTGGCAGGAGCAATAGGCTTAAGTGTAGCCATGATTGTGAGGTTGGCACAGGACCAGGCAGTGTTTTTTTCTGTTGTGTGTAGGGTTGTTATGAGTTGGAACTGACTCTATGTCACCTAACAGCAACCTGAAGATGAATGCACTATTTTGAATAATTTCATCACACCTGAGTCCTTTTCTGCCACTTAACTGGAGGTTTCTGATAATTAATTTATCCCAGAAATTGATTCTTCCCTTTTCTCTGATGGCCAGAGAATTCTACCTCATTCCAGGTTCCCCATGAAAGCCCTGTGAAACACTTTCAGAAAGGAAACTGTAACTATGACCCTTATAGCCTCAGTGCAGAAACATATGGGTTCTCAGAAGGGAAGTAAGTTTTTGCTTCAGTCTGTATCACTGTGTGTGGAATGCTGTCCTTCTGTAAACAGTAATAGGTTGCAGCATCTTTATCTTCCACGCTGCTGATTGTGAGAAAGTAGTCTGTCTCAGACCCTCTGCCACTAAATCTGTCAGGGACCCCAGAGGCCAGATTTGATGTGCTATAAATCAGGAGCTTTGGTGGGGCTCCTGGCTTCTGTTGGTACCAGTGTAAGTGGCCTGCATTTATACTTGAGCTGGCTTTGCAGCTGATGGTGACACTCTCTCTTGGGGAAAATGCCATGGAAGCTGGTGACTGAGTCAGTGCAACATCTCCACTGGATCCTGTGGTTAAATATGAGAGGAAGAGAAGTTACCAGAAATAACAATACAGGAATGCTGTCGTACCAATAAACAAGCAGATTTACTATAGGACTTTAAGAAACAAAAAAAGTATAACATAGAACCAAACTGTCATGAGGAAGCTGATCCTGAGTGTAGGATTTTGGTCTTACCTGTGACAATGAGCAGCATGTAGCCAAGCATTTGGACCTGAAAAGCCATTATGCTGTCTGAGTCCTGTCTCACGCTAAACACAATTCTCCTATAAAGAGCACCCCTAAAGAGCAACTCTCTGAGGCTTGGGGTTCCTGGGGACACGACATGCAAATCAAAAGGCTTTAATGCAAAAAGTGCTGTATATATATCCAAGTGCTCATCCCATTTACTTTTATAAGTCAAATCAGAATAGGAAAGCGATTTTTCTGACTAATTACATGCATCTGGACATCACCTATGTGTTATCACCTATGTCTAGATAGGCTCAATTTAGCCTAGTTAGCAAGGAAAATTCCAGGAAGTGTTGTGTCATGTGAATTTTCTCAGTAATGATGTTCTAATAATGACTTTATGTAAATGCCCATCAGAAAACCCCAACTGTCCCCACAGATCTACTTCTTCTTGCTCTGACAGCTGCTTCACTGAGACCTTGTCACCTATCAATGTTGCTCAAGCGGCTTCTGAACCCACAAGTTTTGGGGAAACTACCTTCCACGTGCATCATCTGCAATCTAAATATCCTCGGGGATGAATTCCACAAAAGATGTGCACAGGATACACCTAGAGACTGGAAACCACCATTCAGGCAGGGCTATCATATTTTGGTTGGTTGTTCATTTCTGAAAATGAAGTATGCTCAGTATAAGTTCACTAACAACTAAAATATATCCAGTACTCCATCATACGCTTATTTTTCAAGAACTCTGGTTTGGTTTGAGGAACTAGAATAGAGATCCGTATAACATAATTAAAAATCTAAGAAATGGAATTACAATGCTTTTCTCAGTCACAATTGAAACAGTGTCCTCGTCTGAGGCATTTAAGTGAAAGTTAATATTTTTATCTGGGAATATTAAGAAATCGTTTTCAAACTAGTCCCATATTAATTATTAGAGAACAAGTGTGTTGTAAGCAGGGCTTTTCTTGAAGAGCTTTATCAGGACAATGTTTTGAAAGATCTTAGTCTCATAGCAAATGTGTATTATATCGGTGAAGAGATGCAAGGGTCATGAGGTCAATGTAAAAGATCATCAGGGTAACCTTTCGGACTGATGATGCCTTATACATCCTTTGATAAAGTCATTCCCTTATTTTTAGTTATTGGTTCTCAAATTTTAGGAATAGAAATAACTTAGGGGATTTGTTAATGAAAGCCACCTTCGAAGTTACTGGAATTCCAGGTATTTTTGAGTTCTTCTTAAATCTCAGAGAATGCTCTGCTGAACGGAACTCCAGGTAAATGGCTATTTTTTTCTCATTATTTTGAAGGTATTCTGTGGCTGCTGCCTTCCCTTCCTTATGCTGAAATGTAAGCAGTTAGTCTTATTCTTGTTCATTAATAGAAAATAGAACTCTCTTTCCTGATTTTGGTAAAGATTAAATAAAATATGATAGCATTTATACATTGGGTGCAAAACCTGAGTACCAAATAAATATACCCTCTCTCCCACATCCTGCCTACTCAACTGGGCTTGATAATTAAATGCAATGGCCACACAGAACTCAGAGCGGACACTCAGCATTACGGGGCTTATTAGAGAAGATAATAAGTTCGAATTCAGTGTCAGAAATTCAGCACAGCCTCTCCCCAGCTGTGCCCACAGACAGGTCTCTCTCTGACTGGTCAAGGTTACAAAAGTCTTCTAGGGCTAGTGAGAAATGCCCCCAGGACATATCACTCTACCATAAGGCCCAGCCAGAAGAACTGGGCCTCAGCTATAGCTCCAAGGGTCAGTAAACCTAGCCTCACATCTTCATTAAAGTGCTTAAGGGTTCCCCTCACTGCAAGCAAGCTTTGTGTCCAAAGTCACTCAGCTTTACTTGCTCTGGTGTCTGAGAAGCCCACTGCTTTGTCTCATCCTTACCTTGCAATTAGCAACCATGTGCCTAATTCACAGTGCCACTAGGGATTCTTAAAGATAGGTAAATCTGAATCCTAAGCTTGCTAAACAATTATGATGATCATGGTGGGTGGTGATTATGTGCTGTGGAGTCGGTTCCTGCTCATAGAGACCCTGTATAGGCCTTCCTAGACTATAAATCTTTATGGGAGCAGAAAGCCTCATCTTCCTCCTAGAGAACAGCTGGTAGTTTCAAACTGCTGACCTTGAGGTTAGCAGCCTGACTTGTAACCATACAATTATGTTGTTGTTGTTAAGTGCCTTCGAGTCGGATGTGACCCATAGCGACCCTATACAGGGTTTCTGAGGAGCAGCTAGTAAACTTGAACCACCGACCTTGCAGTTCAAATGGCTTTGCAGTCTAGCACATTAACCCACAGCGCCACACCAGGACTCCTGCCTTTTAGTGTAATCTGAATAAATACGACTCCCATCCATGGGTATCTTGTTTGTGTCAGAGTAGAACTGGGCTTCACAGGGTTTTCAATGGTTGAATTTTCCGAAATAGGTTACTGCACCTTTCTCTTTCTTCCTATTTCAAAGCATTTATTCTCATCCATAGTAGCTGAGCTTGGACTTTATAGTTTTAATATATATTTGTAATGTTTAGGAAGAAATGTAAAGACTGAAAAATGAGGACAACTCCAAATAGTCAAAATACAATATAATATATGCGAGAACAAGAATGGAATAATTTCTTTTTATACTCTGTGAAGGTATACTTCATATTGCATTGAAAATTTTATAATTTTCATTTCATATTTTAATTAAGAAATATGAGAAAGAGAGAGGATTAGTAGTACCTTAATACTATGCAGAAACTTTATTTTTCGGTACAGTCCCACTAATTCCAAGGTGAGGCATGTAGACTGAATTTTGGGAATACATCTTCCCTCTTGATTTCAAACTCTTAAGTTCAGTGTTAGCAGAAGCTGAAGTGTTGACTCTAGGACATGTCTCCCACCAGATAACGTAAAGGAACTTCAGAAAACTTTTTTATTGGGATGACATTGCAGAGTTCATATATCATTATATACACCCACTGACTAGGTGATTTGTTGAACTGACCCTTTTTTTTTAAGGCATGTCCCTCTATTGTATGTTTTTTTCTTTCTTACATTGGACACTTTATGAATACAATAGCAGACAAACAGCTCCAAGCTCTGAACTGGCTTTCTTATGACAGCCCCTATTACTATACAAGGAAAGGAAGCTGGAGGGGCAGATGGTATAGTAAAAGTTCATTGGATTAAAGCAGAGGAGTAGTAGGTTGGACCTGGCTTTTGTGTCTGGCCCACTGCCATTTCGTCTTTCTTTAACTCAATTTCCACAATTTAAAAAAAATGGGAATGTATTAACTCAGGAGTCCTTTAAACTCTGTGATTTCTATTTCCAGAAAAAGAAATCCAAAAGAATAACTAAGTTTTTCATAATTAATCATGAAAGGACTTTTTTCTTTTTTTATAGCAATTGATAAGTTGTTGTTGTTAGGTGCCATCAAGTCGGTACCAACTCATAGCGACCTTATGAATAGCAGAATGAAACACTGCCCGATGCTTGGCCAACCTCACTACTGTTGCCACACTTAAGTCCGTCGATGCTGCCACTTGGCCAGTCCATCTCGTTGGGGGTCTTCCTCTTTTTCTCTGACCCTCCACTCTACGAAACATGATGTCCTTCTCCAGGAACTGGTCAAATACACAGAAAGAAAATGAAAAAAATTAATACTCTAAAATGTCATAAACCAATATTGATTCAAGAATTTGAGTCATCTATGTGAAAAAAAATTTTTTTCTTTCTTCGAGTCATTTTGTTTGTTGTTCTTAAGCTACAAATTTGTACTCTTATCAATCTATGAATTTCTGCTTAAAACTTGAATGATGAAGTGCTGGCTATATTGATATTTGGAGTTCTGATGTGCCACTGTGGGATAAAGCACTGGACAGCAAGGTCAGTTTCAACTACAGGGTCAGTGGTTCAAACTTACCAGCTTGTATCTGAAAGATAGTTAACCAGTTTTGATTTTCAAAGATCCCTTTCAATGAAATGCCTGGAAAAAAAATTTCTTTTAAGTGTAAAAAAATTTTTTGGCATCTAGAAAATACATTGAGAAATAGGAAATACTTGAGAGGTCTTAATGTAGTAAGGAACTAACAAAAAATGGTTTAAGAATTTTCTGATTCATATTTTAATTTTTTCATCCAAACCCAAGTAACTTTAGAGACATAGGATGTCAACAGCTGCTAATACAAAAAGTGTCTGAGAGGGATGTCATGCAGTGAGCAGCTTGCCTGGAAAGTTTTTGCTCATGCCTAGAGCACTGTGGGAGGGTACTTATGTACCTGCTGACAATAATAATTTGCGGCATCATCAGCTTCCACAGGGTCAATTGTAAAGGAGAATGTAGTTCCAGAACCACTGCCACTGAACCTCACTGGAACTCCCGGTTCTCGAGTGGATGTAAAAGTGATCAGGAGTTTAGGAGGCTGTCCTGGTTTCTGCTGATACCAGTTAAAAAGGCTGGTGCCCAGTGATTCAATACTCTCACTGGTCCTACATGAGATGCTGGCTGTATTCCCTGGAGCCACACTCAAAGAGCCTGGTGACTGGGTCAACACAATGTCACAAGTGGAACCTGTGATGGTAAATAAGCAAACACAATAAACCATGACAGATGAGCTGAGAGCAATCAAGCATTGGTTTCTGAGTCATTTGGAACTTAATTAATGCATTAATTCTGGTGACTGAAACTCAAACCCATAGGAAATGAAGATTGTTGCCCAGTGGTTTCTTGCACACTCCTCACCTGGTATCCAGAGTAGCAAGACCCACAGCAAAGGAGTCCAAGAGCCCATCTCGAGATCTGAACTAGAGGCTTCTCCTCAAAGGCTCTGTGGGGCTGCCTGTAAGAATGCTTTAAGTGGTGTGGAGTGCTGGCTAGTGACATGATATGCAAAGCAGCTCAGGCAGGTGTTGATTGGTGTACAGAAAAGATGCTCTGTTTTTGCCCAGTGGAAGCTGGAGCTACCACAAAATTTCAAAGGGGTATCTGAAACATAACCCAAGGGATTTGTTGACCCTGTTCAGTTACTTCTTCATCTTCTA